ATGAAATGACCTCTACTATACCTAATGCATGCTAATAATTTTTAAAAGAGCAAAGTGGAAATTATAGGGTTAAAAAATAAATGTGAGAGGAGGGGCCTCTAGGAGAAGATCTCATTTGGCCTTCTACATTACAAAGGCAGTAACTCCAACACACTCCAGGATGAAGCCTAAATCCATCCATCTACTGTGGCACTTTTGTTATTTCCTCCCAAGGGATGCTTGCTTTTTCTCTGTAGGCTACATGGGAAGCTGGAGAAGCTGGAAAAGCAGTTTTCTTTTCCTCTCCTTCTTAACCATTTCCCCCTAATCCTGAGACACACGGATTTGTCCTTGGTTGGGGGTGGGAGGCTGTGAGTAGGGCTTGGGCTGTGGATCATTAAGGCAGCCCACCCAGCTGCAGCATGCTCAGGGAAAGCTCATTTTAACAAGAAGCTAAAGACAAAGGCTTTCAAACACCAACTATGTGTTTGATTAGAAAAAGAATTCTGATTTATCAGATATTTTCACCTACATGTCAGACTTGGCTTTCTGCCATAGTGAGTTAATGTTGAAAATGATAACATAGAAAATGAGATATATTTCAGCTTGGGTAGCTAGCTCAACTATTGTCTTCTAATCTTAAATGGCTTAGTAATGGTTCCTGGTTCACTTTCTGCCAAATATAATCGTAGCTGATGAAGTCTGTCTTTCTTCCATGGTATTTTCACAGCAAGAATATCATGTTTCACAGAAGTGTGTGTGTGTGTGTGTGTGTGTGTGTGTGTGTATTTGTGTGTGCCATGCAGATGAGGCTTCAAGTCAGGGCCTGGGCACTGTTCTTGAGCTTTTTTGCTCAAGGGTAGCACCCTACCATTTAAGCCACACTCCAATATGTAGCTTTTTTCTCTTTTCTTCCTTTCTTCCTTTTCTTTTTTCTTTCTTTCATTTTTGTTTAATTCAAGATAAGAATCTCACAATCTTTTCCTGCCTAAGCAAGTTTCAAACGCTGATCCTCAGCAATCAGCCTCCTGAGTAGCTAGGATTACAGGTGTGAGTCACCTACACCTGGCTTTAGTTTTAAGTAAAATTACTTTGAATTAATATTCTAACCTCATTCTAGTTTTTTTTTCTGTTATGACAGCCCTGTTTCGTGTGTCTGAATCTCTTTCAGATAATGACAACATGACTCCTGACTCATGCGTCCTTGAAACTTACTTTATATTAGACTTCCCAGTGGATATTTTCCCCTCTTGAGACAAAGTCTCCTTTCTGGGTAACCACTTGTAGGAAGACAAAACGATCAAGCAGAAGAACTGTGGTTATTTCTTCTCAGGCTGTCCCTATTCCTCTTACACAGTAAGATTTTCAGAAGTCATTCATGACAATGAATTAGGAGAGAAAGAGTAAGGCAGCAAAGTATAAAATCTTCAAAGCCAGGCACCATACCTGTAATCCTAGCTACTCAGGAGGCTGAGATCTGGGATCTTGGATCAAAGCCAGCACAAGCTGGAAAGTCCGTGCGACTCTTATCTCCAATTAACCACCAGAAAACTGGATATTTCGCTGCGCTCCCCTTGATCTGAAGAGCTCAGGGACAGCACCTGGGCCCAGAGTTCAAGCCCCACCACCCAAAAAAAATTAGAATATAAAACTTCCATAGGAGTATTATAAAGCATATCATGCATATTTTTAAGTAGAGTGTTTAAAATTAGACTTTAAAAAAGCACTGTGGGTATATAAAAACATATCCACTATACTCTTTATTAAAACACAATAAAATTTTTAATTGTAGTAATGGAGTCAGATTCACTTATAAAAAATTAAAAAGAAACGATTTAGTGATACACCTATAATACCAGCATTCAGGAAGCAGAGGTAGACGATCATGAATCCAGGCCTATTTAGACTATATATTAAGAACCTAGCTTAAAAAAATACACAAAAATTAATTTAAAAGATCTCATTTTTTTATTGATATAAAGATGGGAAAAACAGACTTGCTGGGCTTCCCATGCTAATTTTCACTTGTGAAAGCACTCAACGTGTTTATTCAGTCTGCAGCTTCTTCCCACATGACTTTCAAGATGTGATTTTAACACAAATGGAGCTCACTGAGTGATGTGACTGACTGAGGAAGAGCTGGTTCATGTAGATATTAATCTCTAGTCCTAGCTCAACAGAGAATATTCTTGCTGGATTTGTTAAAAGGCTTTGAAAGGAAGGAAGGGACATTCCTGAGAACTTCCCTCAGATAAACCATGTTTTAGTTTAAAGAAATCCTGCTCAGTTATATTCCCCAAATATCATATATGAGTAAGTTAGGGCAGACGTTGGAAACCTTGCTTCCCCTCCCCACAAGGAATTTTTTTTTCCTGTTAAATTTCCTATTGTTATCATGAAACAAGCAAACAGAAACACATACACCCACACCCACACCCACACCCATCCCCCTAAGAAATAGGCAAATCTACTAGGATTCAATAATAGCAGCTCCTCCCTAGTGACCTTAATCTAATCACTCATGATTTCCTAACTCCTCCCCCCACCATCTACATACCATAGTCATATTAAGTTTCCACTTTAATAATACCTCATGATGGGGCTAAGTTTTAATACACAAAGCCTTGGAGAACAAACTATATCCAAATTACTACCATCTAGCCTCTTCTTCTAAGTAGTAGATATTTAAAACTTTTTCATTGTATTTCTAATTATATGTACATCAGAAACAATTATAAAAATGTCAAAAAAGCCAGAGGAAGAGTAAATCATCCACAATTCTACCACTCAGGAAAAAGAAAAACTTTATTAATAGTATATATGCATAAAATTGATCATTAAAGGATACAGTAAAAGAAAGTTCAAGAACACTTTAGAAAGAGAAGAAACTAGCTGGGTGATGGTGGCTCAGGCCTATCTTGCTAGCTACTCAGGAGGCTGAGATCTGAGGACCATGATTCAAAGCCACCTCAGGCTGATAAGTTGTGACCCTCTCATCTTCAGTTTACTACTAAAAAGCCAGGAGCAGAGCTGTGGCTCAAGTGGCAGAATGCTAGCTTTGAGCAGGAAAAGTTCAAGAACAGCAGCCAGGCCCTATAACTGGCACAAAAAAGCAAAAAATAAACAAAAAATATCAGTATGTGCAAATAAATTTTATGCTATGTAGATGGTATTTCAAGAAAAAGCTCATTTCGTTGGTGTCCTTTATTTTCTTTCTTTTTTAAGAGACCCACTCTGAGATTCCATCTTACCCCAGTTAGATTGGCCAACATTGTGAATTTCAACAACAAACATTAGTGAGGATGTGGGGGAAAAGGAACCCACAGCACTGCTGGTGGGAATATAAACAACCACTCTGAACAGCAATCTAGAGGTTCCTCAAGAAATTAAACATAAACAAAATGTGTTTGTGACTTTAGCTAAGTATCACTAGCCCACAATATTGTGAAGTTCATGTAATCAATCTGAATAAAGAAATTTTTAAAAATTAAACACAAAGTTGGGTGGCGGTGGCTCACACCTGTAATCTTAAGTACTCAGGAGGCTGATATCTGAGGATCATAGTTTGAAGCCAGTGGGGACAGAAAAGTCCCTCTGAGACTCTTATCTCCAATTAACTACTTAAAAGCCATAAGTAGTGCTGTGGCTTAAGTAGTAAAAATGCTAGCCTTGAGCACAAAGAGGCTCAGGGACAGTGCCCAGGCTCTGAATTCAAGCCCCACACATGACATAAACAAACAAACATAGATGTTCCCTACAACCCAGCCATACCACTCCTGGGCATCTACCCAGAACATCACAAGATACTGTAAAGACACTTGCACATCCATGTTCATTACTGTATTGTTCACAGTAGCCAAGTTATGGAAACAGCCCAAATGCCCTACAGTAGATAAGTGGATCCAAAAAATGTGGTACTTATACACAATGGAATTTTTGCACAGCTATTAGAAAAAATAATATGTCATTTACAGGGAAATGGTTGGATAGACCTAGAAAAGATCATGTTAAGTGAGGTAAGCCAAGTTTAGAAAGACAAACAGTACATGTTATCTCTCATATATGAAAGTTAGATCTAAAAACCCTGGGACATGATAAATTATATAGGACTACAGGTTTTCACACACAATGAGACCAAAGGAGGATACTTTTAGAGGAGGAAAACAAAGATGCAATGCTTATGTGACTCTGATCATATAAAAGAATATTTATCAAAACAACTCTAGGAAATTGAAACAAGAAGTTTTTTTTTTTTTTCCCCTTTATTGTTGCTTTTCTTTTTGTCTTGTTCAGTTACATGTTTTTTATGGTGGGGCATAGAAATGGTGGGACAAAGGGTGAACAAATGTAGCAGTGATACTCACAAGACACTATGTTGAAAATGAACATATAATTTATGAGTAGGGACGGGAGGGAAGGGGTGACATTGTCCAAAAAGAAATGCACTCTTTACCTGCCTTATGTAACTGTAACCTCTCTGGATATCACTTTTATAATAACCCTTAAAAAACTTTGTTTAAAAAAGAAACCAACATGTCTTTTAGAAACACTGAGATGTAGAGGTAGAAAATACGAACAAAAGGAAAACAGTTTTAGAGACTATGCGGGCCAAGGTGACTCATTCCTGCCCCCCAGGGAGGATACATCTGTAGTTATGATGTCTCCCAGACTCCTGTGAGCTGTGACATCTACAGTTCTACCCAGTCTGGCATTTCTTTAAACATTCTGATTTATGTTTGTAAATCAATCTATTTGCAAGTTCTCCTAAGAGTACAAGAATGATGCACATCCATGAAAAACGTAAGCCCACCATGCATGCAGCACTGCTTTCAAGTCTCACATCTTCATGACATTTATAAGTGAGAAAATATTAAGCTTAGGATATGAAGATTCAAAGGTTTTAATTCTAAGACTTTGGGATAATACATAAATGTTATATATTTACTTATGAACTTTATATGCTTGAATACACAGGGTTCATAAGGAATACAACTCAACACTAAAAACCGGCCATGTATCTTACTCTTTCCAGAAGCAATAATGGACAAAGTTAATAGGAGTGTTAAATAAAATCATGCTGCCCTTGTGTGCCCTAGAGTTGACACATGAAACAATTATCCCTGCTGCCACAGAGAGGCATACAAGCTACATGAATCTTCACGATCACTTTCCATTTCTTTCCCTCTAGGTTCTTGGAGATACTTTAATCACCCCATTATACAAACATAAACATCACAGAAAAGGAGATGACACTTTTTTATATGCAAACATTTTATTGAACTATTGTGTTATTTAAGATATAGCTCTCTTCAAAGAGGACACAAAAATTATGGCATTCAGAAACTTTAGGTATAACTCTTCAAGAGTAAGCTATTTTCTTTTTAGTCAGCTTGTACCAAGAAGTTTAGCAACGAAGTATCTCTGTAGGCCTCTGGTTGTTTCAGACTCAGTTTCTGCTAGCAGAATGGAGAGCTTCCATGATGGTTTTATTGTACTCTGCGATCTGCCTGGTCACATTTTTAATTATTGGCTGGTAATCACTCTCCTGACTCTTGGTTGCTATGACTAATTACACAAGTTAAGGAGTTAATGAAATATAATAATAATAATTAAATATAAAATAATCTGCCAATAAAATAATCTGTGGATCAGAAAGGAGATAAATTTTAAAGTGTAGCACAGAGTCAAAAGAGTAAGCATAAATTGAAGCCCAAAAGGTCAAGCAAAATTTGTTTCAAAAAAGTTTACCTGTGAATACTTTATTATTTAATGTTAGATATGTCAATCTAATTCTAGTCTCAGCACAATTAAATACTCAAAAAGAAGCCCAAAAGTTTCAACATTCTGGCGTCCACCCTGTTTCAAAACCACCTACTTTATCTTGCCTAAAACTAGAGTGCTGAACATCACACATTCTGGGACTAAGAACTAAGTTATACTACTAATGGAATAGAGTCCCTAGCATATTCTAGCTGGAAGCAAGCTGGGTACATGCTGCCTGGTAGCAGAAGTTCACCAGCATCCTAAAGAAGACCTATGCTACTACTGAGTCAGGATCTGGTTCTCTAAGAAACATTCTCTCTGAAGGAATCAAAGGGAGCAGGAGACAAATTCTACGAAGATGTTTGTTATAAATACATGTCCTCAAGAGCTTATGCCTCCCTATGATCACATGGGAAGGTACAGAAAATGAGACTTAAGCACCACCTTGTAGAAACAAAGTGAAGTTGAATTGGATGAAGAACTTGAAGATCAAACTTCTCATGGCCCTATTTGGTTATCTCCCTTCACTGGCTAGATTTCCAAGGTATAGCATACAACAACAAACTAATATGTATTAGTATACCCAGAATCTCCCAGTAACTCCATCTGAAGGAAATAATAACTATTTTAAAAGTGATAAAATTGAGGCTCAAAGAGTTTATGTAAACTGTGCAAACTCTACAACTTGTAAGAGTCAATATTTAAAATCTTCTGTCAATGGAACTGATCAAGATGCAGTGTACTCATAAATTGACATGTTGAATACTCATAAATTGACATGTTGAATTGAAATGCCTTTTATAATATAGGCTATTAAAGAGAATAAAATTAATACATAAAATTAAATCTCCTGACTCCAAAATCTTTATATTTAAAAACGAGGCTGTATGCTTTATGTGGCAACCCTCTAAATTGCCAATTACTCTGGCAATCACTACAAAAGTAAATACATACACATACATACACACAAACATATGCAACCACTTATGTATTTATTCACACACATATATATGCATATACACAACTATTGTAGAGTGGAAAATAAATATGATTTATTCTCACATATTACTCAGTGTTTTGAATATATTAGACAAATGTGTGCTGAACTGAATTCTACTGGAATAGCTGAATTCCTAGAACAAAATTACTCATTTGCACCATTTTAAAGGATACATTCTTTCATCACAAAATTATTTTGTTCATGGTGTTGCCACTTTCTCTCCAAATTTGTAAGCTAAAAACACAAAGGAAATATGTTAACGGATGCTCTTGTTCTAAATACATTACATACTCTTTTCAGAGGATAAGAAACAAAAACACTCAACTTAAAATCTTATCAAGTCCTTGCATTCTGTTGAGATAAAGCTAAGGTAGATAAAAACAAAACTGAGGAAAGATTAAACAATAGTAAATACATTAATACAATAGGGAATTCCAGAACAGGTTTTATTCTATATGTTTATTTTAATTAGAAAATATTTAAAGTGTTTATTGTACCAATGGAAATGCCAGCTGAAAGACAATTTATGATTTTCCTTTTCCTAAAAGAACTTAAAGAAGAAAAATGGAACATTATGGGAATCTCTCCTTGAAGTCTGGAAGTCTAATGCCACAAAAGTAATATATATTCTAACACTGTCAAAGGTTCAGCCACATAGGAAAAACTTCCTTATTTCCAGGGCTAAATTTCCTGTCTAACTTCACAACTGTGATAAGAGCAGAGCTGCAGTGTGAAGATTGTAAGTGGGTTTGTAAAAAGCTGGCACTGTTACAATAATTTCTGCATCAACAGGAAGCTAATGTGGATATTATATTGATGGTTGCTTCCTCAGAAGACAATTTTACTGTTATAGTATTAAATTGTTTTTCTGATTTAATTAACCTTGTAACTCTGGGTTACGGTCTTTCTTTTTTAAGATGCACATAGTTTTTCCCTAAGCAAGGGACTGTCTAAAAAAAATGAAACAATAATGTTCTGCTTATATGTTGAAAACAATGACCATTTAAAAAATTATGATATTGAAGCAACATTAAAAATATTTCTTTCTACTTTCATTTTAAAATTATTTTGAGGGTATATAAGTTCAGTTGAGATGTAGCCTCCATCCCATTTTTCCTTCTAAAGAGAGAAATTTGATAGAAGCATGACTCATAACTAATTAATGATGTGAATACATGTGTTGGTCATTAATACTATTAAATCAGAGCCATCTCCAGAGCAAATAGATACTTAAAGTTAAGATGGTCTCAGGGAAGCAGTCAGCATTCTTTGTTAGTAATCTCCAATAACTTTTACAAAGTCAAAGTACCAAATATTTTTCTCTTTGTTTTACCCAAAGAGGTGGCCTTCTTACAATGCAACAGAACTCTTGGGTGCTACACAAATAATGATATAAAACTCACATGTGTCACTAGGGCAAATTCCTTTTATATTATACATCTATGTTACTGGCTTGTCTTGAAAGAAACAATGAAACACAACCTACTTTGGAAAATCTGGGGTTTTTTTCACTATAACTTCCTTAAATTATGTTATTAAGAAATTCCCTACTGATATCAAAAGCCAGTTTTTAGTAAAAATGAAGATAAAAGACTGAGAGAAAAGGAGTTCAATTGATTGGGCAGGATTTACAGGAGACAACAAGAAATACAGAGAAGAGGCTAAAATTGGGGCTTATTTTATGATTTCTAGTTCTCAATAAAAGGAAGTAAAGAGATTAATTCTCATTGAATGTGCTGATTTAATGAGATAACAAGAAATACAGAGAAGAGTCTAAAATTGAGACTTATTTTATGATTTCTAGTTCTCAATAAAAGGAAGTAAGGAGATTAATTCTCATTGAATGTGCTGATTTAATATGGAATCGACAAGGTAGCCAGCGATAACTCTTAAATATAGTGTTTGTAACCAGGCACCAGTGGCTCATACCTGTAATTCTAGCTACTCAAGAGGCTGAGATCTGAGGATCACGGTTCACAGCCAGCCCCAGAAGGAAAGTCTGTGAGATTCTTATATCCAATAAACCACCAGAAAACTGGAAGTGGTGCTGTGGTAGAGCACTTGCCTTGAGCTGAAGAGCTGAAGGACAGCACTCAGGCCCAGAGTTCAAGCCCCATGACCAACAAAAATTTAAAAAAAAATTTTTAAATTAAGAATAGTGTTTGTCCAGTGCTTTCTACCTTACACTCAGCAGAAGACAAAGGGCAGCAGCTCAGAAACATTGGTATTTTTTTCCCTAAGAACTATTTTTTCCTCTCTTTTTTTTTTTGTACTGGGGATCAAACCCAGGACGTTGTACTTGGTAGGCAAGTGCTTTGCCACTGATCTACATCCCAACCCTCTAAGAACATTTAAGATAATATTTTTCCTATTTTTCTTCTCCACCATTCAGCTGCATTCCAAACAAACTATTTTGGCACATACAAATCTATATCTAATTTGTATTTTAGAATAACTGTCAGATCAATATAAATTGTGCAAATTAGTCATTTCTAAGAAGAGCTGAGACTTCTTTCAAGAAGAATATATAATGTGTCTTTTTATAAAAATGGTGTTTCCAGGCAATGAACAAGCTGATGCCAGACAAATGTCATTGTGTTTGCATTCACAGGATTCTTTCCCTTCTTGTGAAATAAACATTAGTGTATGAACAAAAAGGAAAATATCCTGCAAAGGTTCTCAGCCTGGTAAGGTGCACATTTATAACCCAAAGCACTTGGGAGGTAGACATCGAGAGGATTATAGTTCAAGGCCAGCCTGAACAAAAAAGTAATTATGACCCCATCTCAACACATAAGCTGGGCATAATGGAGCTCATCTGTGGTTCCAGCTACATCAAAAAGCATAAATAAGGCCCCAGTCTAAGGCTAGCCCAAAATAAAAATGGGAGACTATGTCCAAAAAGTAACCAAAGCAAAAAAGGCTGGAAGTGTTGCTCAAGTGGTAAAGCACCCGCTTAGCAAGTTTGAAACCCTGAGTTCAAACACTGGGAGTATGTGGACAATGGCAAATTAATATGACATATTATTGTATAAAAAAGGAGGAAAATTTTCATGTACTTCATTTATTAAGTCATATATACAAATTGCTAATGTGGACTAAACAGAATAGGTCAATAATCATTCTTTCCTGGATCATAATTATTGAATTGGTGTATTTGTAAAGTAACCATTTGTAAAGTACTTACTGAACAATCACTATGCAAGTTACTGGAGAGCGCTGGGGATAAAATGAACAATAGAAGCTGAGCTCAGTCCAAAACTTTACTTAGTACTCAGATCATTATCAGTAAGATGAGTGATTTAAAAAAAAAGTACTACAGTTACAAATGTGTGCATCTTATGTAAATGAGGATGACGTGATCCAAGAATTTCAACAATCATACTGCTCTTCATAGTAACCTAAATATTCAACTAAAAATGACCTAAATATCCAACAACAGGAATCTGGCTCCATAGATTATATCATGTAATAGAATATTATGTAGCAATTATGAACCTTTTTTAGCCAGGTGCTGGTGGCTTATGCATATAATCCTGGCTACTCAGCAAGCTGGATCTGAAGATTGCAGTTTGTAGACAGTTTGGCCAAAGAAGTCCCCAGAACTCTATTCTCCAATTAACTAGCAAAAATAAGCTGGAAGTAGAACTGTGACTCAAGTGGTAGAGCACTAGCCTTGAGCAAAAAAGCTAAGGGACAGTGCCCAGGCTTTAATTTCAAGTCCCAGGACACCTCACTGAAAGAATTTGAAAAATATTCATATAATATATATATATATATATATATATATGTATACACACACATTGACAATGTAAAGTACTTGTTAAAAATAAAAGATCTTTCAAAGCCGGGCGCTGGTGGCTCACACCTGTAATCCTAGCTACTCAGGAGGCTGAGATCTGAGGATCGTGGTTCAAAGCCAGCCAGGGCAGGAGAGACCCTGAGACTCCTATCTCCAATAAACCACCAGAAAACCGGAAGTGGCGCTGTAGCTCAAGTGGTACAGTGCATGCCTTGAGCTGAAGAGCTGATGGACAGCGCCCAGGCCCAGAGTTCAAGCCCCACGACCGACCAAAAATATAAAATTTAAAAATAAATAAATAAATCAAAGATCTCAAATAATACATACACTATGATACCACTTCTACAAATGCGTATTTCTGTATACATATAACCATATCTACATATATAATTATGCACATGTACACATGTACATATGATTATATGTATAGATAATTATGCACATCATGTGTACAGATATATAAATGTGTTTGCATACCATATGTATATGTAAATGGAATGTATATGTAAATGGACCAAGATGGAAACAAGAATTCTCTCTGATAAAATAGTAATTAGTTTTCAGAGTTTTACAGGTTTTCAAAGTTTCTGCATCACAAAAGTTTCTATTTAACTTTTGAAAATTTTTAAAGCTACTACGTAGTAATCATCATGGCTGTGCCCAGAACAATGCATAGAACTGGCCTAGCAAAGGCAAGAAAACAGTTCATGTGCTCCCAGAAGATGAGACAGAATCTGGCTGTCTAGAATGTACATAAAATAGGCAAAGAAAAAATGTTTTTGGGGAAAAAAGTACAGATGAGTATAGGAAAGATGAACTACAAAGAGAAGTGAATTCAAGGTTATTTTTAAGAGTTTTTACCTGAGAATGTGTCTCGTTTTCTTGCAACTGGGTTTTCAGCGCCTCATATTCTTCATTTAGAGTCTCCATTATTTTTTTAAAAGCATTCCTGCGTGTTGACAATATGGTTCTTTCCTGATGTAATTTCTAGATAGACCCAGAGAGAAGTAATAAACAGCCTATCACAAATTCTAGTAAGTCAATACAAGTCATATTTGGTTCAAATAATTTTAATGGTCATAGTCTGATAAAATTCTATCAAGATCATTACTGTTTAAAGACCTATTAGTAAAACTATCCTTCTACGTCATATTAATATTAACTGTATAAATAACTCAATTCCTGTTAGTGTATCTGTCCCTGCCCCACAATTTCTACTTTAAACTAATGAAAATTGCCACCGAGAGAGACTTGACATGCTAGCTTGGGACATGTGCCTTCAAATCTATGAATTACAAAACTTACATCTCTTGACATGCTTGATATTAGGTAATAGCTTAAATCTTGTGATTCAGTTTTTGCTCTAATTTTAAACTTTAATTCACTTAAAATTCCAACTACACATGTAGAGTTTTTAATCACTTTGTCTTAGTTTAAATGTCACATAAAGGCTGGAGGCATGGCTGAAGTGATAAAAAGGTTGCCTAGCAAACGAGAGTCCCTGAGTTCAAACCCCAGTCCACCACAAATCAAAGAGGAAAAACATTAGTCAACTGAAAATAAGTTCTACACGATAAATATAAATTAAAATCCAAAAAGCCCATCTAATTCTATTATAATTTTATAAGACAGCATTACCTTTTTCTTTTCTTCCCCTGATGATTTTAGGGCTGGTAAATCATTGTATGTCTCCAGATCAGCTTCTATTTGCTTAATTTTGACTTTCAGAGAATGCTGCTCCTCAGTCATCTTACTTTCCAGGAGCTCCATTTTCTGTAGATCCAGCTGTAAACGTTGACTGTCTGAAAGGAAAATAAAAGTGTATCCTCTTGGGAACCATCTTAACCTGATATATCTCATTTGTATATGAACATTATGATGATATTAAGTATTATATAATATTCAAGTTAAATAAATGAGAAGAGTAAAAACAGATTTTTAAGTTTATTATTCACCGAAATCTTTTCTTGTTTTATTTTGTGTTGTTTTGTTTTATGCTGTGACTGGGACTTTTATTCAAGGCCTGGACTTTGTCCCTGATCTTTGTTCAAGGCTAGTACTCTACCATTTGAGGCACAGCTCCACTTCTGGCTTTTTGGTGGCTAAATGGAGATAAGGGTCTCATGGACTTCCCTGCCTGGGCTGGCTTTGAGAAATCCTCAGATCTCAGCCTTTTGGGAAGCCAGGATTACAGTCATAAGCCACTGGCATCCAGCTCAACCAAATCTTTTTAAGTTAATCTAATTAAATTAATATTCCGGGCTGGGAAGGTGGCTCAGTGGTAGAGCGCTTGCCTTGCATGCTTGAGGCTCTGGGTTCGATTCCTCAGCACCACACGCTAGCCTTGAGCTGAAGACCTGAAGGACAGCGCCCAGGCCCAGAGTTCAGGCCCCACGACCGGACCCAAAAAAAAATATTTAATATTCCTTGAACATTTCCTTTCTCCCCCTGAAAAGTTTTAAAGCTAAACCACACTGACATATCATCAAATATGCATAACACGACTGAAATGCTGTTGCAAAAAAATTTAATCAGGATTTATATGTCTGCTTGGGTTGGAAACAGTTGCAACACAAAACAAAGCACTGGACAAGTCGCTAAGGCTATAGTGTTTTGATGTTCAAAAAAGGAAATGTACTTAGTTTATGGATATTTTGCCTGAAATAAACAGCTACGTAAATTTAAGTGCAAGTTTAATTTTCACATGTGCTAGGAGAATACATTTAAGAACTATATAGACTAATTTTTCTAGAGAAAAGGATAAAATGGTTGGTTGGTATAGGGTAAAGTTTATCTTCCTTTAGCAACAGGTCCCTATGAAAAGCTAAATGCTTCTCGAAGGGAAAAGACAGGAAGAGGATACAGTCCAGTTCCTTCTGATATGCTATGAAGTTCCAAAGTTTACCAAGCCATGTGGACAGAACAGCAAAATCTCAGGAGCAACTTTGACCTGGAGAAATGTTTCTGAAATATGCTACCATTAGCACATTTGTATACTCCCTGGAGTTTTCTTTCCAAAAATACAAACAAAAGCTACTCCTGACAGATTCCTTGCCACTGTCCATGCCGTACACCAGGGCTTCTTTTCTTTTATTCCGTTATAGACATTTTTAACCCAGCTGCCTCCCTCTCCCCCATATTTGTATATCACAGATATCCATTTGTGTAGTGACAGATTATAAAACCAGTACCAAGGATTTCTTTCCTCTACCCTTCTTCCCTCTAAAAGCAATTTTACTTCCTTGAGGTGATACTGCCTCATTAAAAAAATGTGATACCCTAAAAGTCAGGTGAGTCCCTACAATCCCAAAGTAAAAAAAGAAGGCTATCACAAGGGAAAATGTAAAATTCAGTATCTCCAAAGGTACACAGGAACATGTCTATAAACCTCCCATGGTGATTTTCACATAGGAGATATCTCTTGGGGGTAAGGGATGATAAAAGGGAAGAAAAGGAAGAAAAAGTCTAGGTTTGGTTAAAATGAGAAAAATAGATAAAATTAACTGTAAGGATCAAAGAATTCAACTAAAAAAAATAAGAAAAATTCCTGGCAAATCTTGACTATAGTAATAAACAGTATTTTATCTCCATTGAAGCTACTTGTCATTCTCTTCAACTGTGTATCTCTGAGAACACATAATGCCTCGTTTTTAAAGGAACTGTAAACACATAGTATAAAAGCAGGGAAGGAATACTAAGTTCTAATCAGTGAATTTGTTTCCTGGAATTGATATGTGCCTGTAAGAAATGAGTGTTTCTCAGTCGCTGTTACACAAAGATAGCTGATAGGAGGGAAAAGACCTGTTGAATATCAACCTTAGATAAATAAAAAGCATAAGCACTGTGGTCAAAACACAAAAGAGAGGTTTACTAGATGGAATAATAAAACACAAAATTCTTTACAGAAAAAAATGAAGCCAGGCGCCAGTGGCTCATGCCTATAATCCTAGCTACTCAAGAGATTTGAGAATTGCAGTTCAAAGCCAGCCTAGGCAGGAACGTCTGTGAGACCCTTATCTCCAATAAACCACTCAGAAAAAGCCGGAAGTGGCACTGTGGGTCAAATGGAAGAGTGCTAGCCTTGAGCAAAAGCAGCTCAGGGATAGCACCCAGACCCTGAGTTCAAGACCCAGGACCAGCAAAGAGAGAGAGAGACAGACAGACAGACAGACAGAGACAGAGAGAGAGAGAGAATGAACTATTTTAAAACATCCCTAGTCATACATGTCCCAAGAACTAAAATTAAGATCTTGAAGAATATTTGTGTCACTGAAGAATCACCTAAATGTCTTTGAATGGAAAAACAAATTTGGTGCAATAGAATGTAATTCCTCAGCCTCAAAGAAGAAAGAAATTCTGTCACATGCTACCACATAGAGGAACCTTAACGACGTGATAAGTGATAAAGACCCTAATCGCAAAAAAACAAAAAACACATACACAATATATGACTCCACTGATATGACCTATCCAAAGTAGTCAAACTCATAGTAACAGAAGTAGAATTCTGATTACTGAGATCAGAAGACAGGGAAATAGTGAGTTGTTGTTCCATGGGAATAAGGTTTCAGTTTAAAAGATGAAAAAGTTCTAAAGTTTCTGCTATCTAACAATAGATCATCTATGTTAAAAAATGTTAATTTATACAGTTAACCCTAATTCTGTACCTGTTAAAATAGTGAAATTTGTTGTGTGTTTAATGATGACAGAAAATAGAGTTCCAGTAAAGTTTATGCAAACTGAATTAGACTGTACCTCCTCTTGGTGCTTGGCATATAATTCAGACATACAAGTACAACTAGGACAAACAATCTCTAAACAAATCTCAATATAAAATATGCATAAATGCATAGATAACAGCAGCAGTACACCTGTACATCACTCTACATTCAATGGTATCCTAGTATATTCCCTAGTATGCATTTACAGGTCCACAATCTCTTATTTAGGAACTTTTGGACAGTTGTGTTTTCAATTACAGAATCCTTGGATTTTTACATGAAGAATGTACATTTTATTATCATATAGCTTATTCAACAGGGTTGGAGGCAAGTACCTGGACAACTACAAATACAAATAGCCACACTAGTCAATCAGGTTTGGTTTTGTTGCCAAGATCTTTTTGGATTTGGGGAATCTAGATAAGGTATTGTTATTACATTTCATGAATCTTTAGACATTTTAAATTAGCAAATATAACTAAATCTTCATTTCATATAATCTCACTGCCAGGAAGCCTAAGTATACAAATTAAAACACAGCTTAATTTCAAGTTACCAAGCATAAAGAACACCCACAATTAAAATCTATCAGCTTATAAGCCACACAAATTGTTCACATGACTTTATCCTAACATCCTTATGCTGAACTTGGTATGGTACATGTGTCTCTAATCTCCACCTACATCATCCCAATGGCAGCCACTAGACTCATACAGGGCCTTTGAGCATTAGCAATGTGTTCTAGCTGGGCTCTGGTGGCTTGTGCCTGTAATCTTAGCTACTCAGGAGGCTGAGACCTGAGGAGCACAGTGCGAAGCCAGCTTGGGCAGGAAAGTCTGTACAATCTCATCTCCAAAAAAAAAAAAAAAAGCAGGAAGTGGAGCTGTACCCCAAGTAATAGAGCATTAGCCCTGAGCAAAAAAAGTTCATGGACAGCGCCCAAGGTCTCTGAGTTTAAGCCCCAGAACTAGCACGAAAAATAAATAATTTTTTTAAAAAAAGGATTGTGTCTTCTCTGAATTAAAATGTCTCACTGATCATTTACAGGTTAAAATGGTAACAGATACCCTGAGTTAAATAAAAATACTAAAACATGCTGAAAAAACCTTTTCATTATGCATGTATTTGGAATTAAATTTTCTAACAGTGCTGCTCTACTTGCATGCTAGTGAGCGTTGTTGAATTCATTAGAGTTAAATATATCCTCAAGGACGTCCACTAATTACCTAAGACTGGTCTGCATATGTGGCCTTTGGTGTGCTTTTTCTCCCAGGTACTGGGGCAGGGGGAAAGGGCTGCACATGCTGGCTAAGCAGGCCCTCTACCACATGAGACATTCCTTTTTTGTCTTAGCTATTTTTTGGATAGGGTCTCACACCTGTAGACCAGAGCTGGCCTCAGACCCTGAACCTTCCACCCACACTTCTCATGTAACTAGGATTACAAGTGACCACCACCATGCCTAGGTTTGTGTGTTGAGGTGGGGGTCTCATTAACTTTTTGCTCAGGCTGGCCTGGAATTGTGATTTTCCTGGGAACAGCTAGGGTTACAGGTGTTCACTGTCATGCTCAGCCTTCCTTATGCTTACTTCCATGACAGCATTCTTTCATTCTATTACCAGTTTGTCAACCACCAGGCTCAAAGTTCCTTGAGAAAACTGATCTGCTTTTTTAAACCTCTGTATAAATAAAGATTCTCTCCCTGAGAGAACCAGGGCTCCCCTTCCCAACCTGGCCTACAAATACTTTAGACTCTCAACACAAATGGTTTCATTCTCCCTCCATCCACATTCAAAGATTTAAACAAACACCTACACAGTTCCAGGAGGCCAGGATGACCCAAAATTCCCTCCTGAGATGACTTGACAGTAGACTAGTGATCACTCTTTCAGAGATTATTTAGTAAAAAGGTTTTCACAACTATGAATCCTACCCCCACCCTCTGAATGTGTATATGCACATAGATAGATAGATAGATAGATAGATAGATAGATAGATAAATAGATAGATGAAGTGAAGGCCTTATCTTTGAAGTATAATCACTTCTGTAGGAAGATGGAATCCTAACTTCCTAAAATCCATGATAGCTAGCCTAATCAGCATTTACACCCTGCTGACCCCCTCACTCTTCCTCTAAAATCCCCAGTCGCTTCTACAAATTGAAGCTGAATTAAGTTCACATGGACCCCTTCCCTTCAGCACTACTAAATTACTGGTTAAAATTTTTCAGTAAGCTTTAGCTCCCAGCTTTATCTCTGAGGTACTATGAATTCAGACATGGAGCCAGCCCAGCTGATACTCAGTTATGATGGGCAACGTCCTCACAAATCCATAGGGAGTTGAAAACATCCTTGGTGGGAAATGTACTTAATACACTTGACCTACCTTACTTACCATACCTCAAGGTTAAGATTAAGCAATATAGTATGCTGTTATGTATTGACTGCTTACCCTCCTGATTGCAATGCTGCCTAGGTTCATGGCTTCTACTTGGCATTGTGAGAATCATACACTACATATTATTAGTTCAAAATTCAAAACAGAATCCCCAGTATTGCTCCAAGTCATTGTAAAATCAAATAAGTCAAAGCCATTATAAGTTAAGAGAGATCTGCACTCAATAAATGTTTCTCAATGGATGAAAATATGCCAAAGAAACTAATAAGCTAAGGGGACATGAGGCAATCAGAAGTTAGATCCTACCTTTTAAAAAGAATAATAATATAATTTTGAAGTTCCAATTTAAAAAAATGAAAAATATGAAAATCTAGGCCAGTTTTCTCACCTGAGGTCAGACTTCTAGCTGTATTTTGTGATTTCTGCATTTCAGTAGATTTAAAATTGAGGTCTTCCTGCATCATTTTTAGCTCCTGGTTGGTAATCGAGGATAACTGTTTCATATGATTTATATTCTATATTTGTAGAGAAATCAAAATAATAAAGAAGAAAAAAATGATTTATGAGGCAGGTGGTGGTGGTAGCCTATACCTGTAATCCTAGGAAGTGACACTGTGGCTCAAGTGGTAGAGCACTCGCCTTGAGCTGAAGAGCTGAGGGATAGCTCCCAGGCCTAGAGTTCAAGCCTCACGACTGACCCCCCCCCCCGCAAAAAAAAATCCAGCCCACCTGTAATCCTAGATACTCAAGAGGCTGAGATCTAAGATCTAAGGCAGGAAAATCCATAAGACTATCCCAATTAAAAATTCCCAGAAGTAGAGTTGTGGCTCAAGTGATAGAACACTAGCCTAGGGCAAAAAGCTAATGGAGAGTACCTAGGCCCAGTTCTGGTACATATACAAAAAAGATCATGTATTTCTCTCCATTAATTAGTACTACACACAGTAGATGCTCAAAACATTTTGTGGTAGATATTTGAAGATAATCATAGGCACATCTAGAAAAAAAAAGAATCTTTTTATTTAAGATACAAATTCAATGTATAAGTATATTAACATTTTCTAACAGAATGTCTAGGTTGTGCAATTTCCTGAGTAAACCTTCTACAACTTAGCTATATTAGCAGTGGAAGATAATCTTAATTATTCCAATAAGATCCTCACTGCTGAATGTTTACACTACACATGACATCCTCCCTCTATGTCCTAATTAGCCAATATTAAAATCAAGAATTCAAAGACATAAAGTGGCAAATAAGGCAATTTAGAGAAAAGAGTTCAAGTGAATTGTTCATGTTTGTGGTAAATTAGGACAATCAGCCACAGTAAAATCAGTGAGGCCAGCAGGCCTGGTGACCAGTACTCACCCATGAGGCCAGCAAGTCAGTGCTGGGTACTCACCTTGCTGCAGTGCTCCAAAAGTGCCACAATGTGGGCTTCTATCTGAGCCTTCCTCTCTATTTCCTGATTCTTCGTTTCCTCAAAACTCTCTATAAAAGCTGCCAATTGAAAAACAGTCCACTGTTGATAGAGTTAATACCATATCAACTCTGACTCTCAGGTCTAAGGAATATTTTTAAATTTTGAAAATAAGAAAGCCAGGCATCGGTGGCTCACACCTATATTCCTAGCTACTCAGGAAGCTAAGATCTGAGGATCTTGGTTCAAAGCCAGCATGGCAGGAAAAGTCTGTAAGACTCTTAAATCCAATAAACTACTAAAAAAAAAGCTCAAGTGGTAGAGTGCTCACCTTGAGCAAAAGAAGCTCAGGAAAGTGCCTTGGCCCAGAGTTCCAGCCCCAGGACTGACCAAAAAAAAAAAGAAAACAAATACAAATTTACTCAGTAACAATATACTTTCAGGACCATGACATGAGTGAACTAGAGAGTTATTCTATCTGCCCAAAGGAAACAGCTAATAAAACAGACCAGAAAAGATACATCTATAATTGTTAACACATCAATGGCCACCAGTTTTTTTCTGAAATTAATATTCCTAAATACCTATTTTCATCAGAAATTATAAAACTCAAATGCTGGCTTAATCTCAGAATAAATTTAATAGTCTATTATGATTATAAATACATTTTTTAAAATTATTCTTTTGTCTAACACAGAACTGGTACATAGTTTTGGTCTTATTTACATTCTTCAATTATTACTTCCAAAAAATAAAAACATAATAAACATTTTACTTGTTGTATGAGATAAACATGTTTGTTTTTGTCAGTCTTGGAGCTTAAACTCTGGGACTGGGCGCTGTCCCTCAGCTCTTCAGCTCAAGGCTAGCACTCTACTACTTGAGCTACAGTGTCACTTCCGGTTCTCTGGTGGGTTTTATGTTTGTTTTGTTTTGTTTTAAGAGGCTCACAGACTTTCCTGCCCAGGCTGGCTTTGAACTGCGATCCTTATTTCTCAGCCTCCTAAATTGCTAGGATTACAGGAATGAGCCACTGGCACCCAGCGGTCAGTCTTCTTTAACAGTTTCCATTTCAATATTTTTTGACTTGCACTTTTAACACATTTGTTAACTGAAATAGTCTTCAAAAAAGCACTTTTGATTTATTTTATTTCAGTTTGTTTGCTTTTTGAAACAAAGGCTCACTATGTAGCACCAGCAAGTCTAAATTGAAATTCTCCCACCTCAGCCTTCTAATACCTCCAAGGTATATGCAACTATATTGGGTGAGTTTTTATTAAATATGTTTGCAGGGAATCATAACCAGAAATGGGAAAAATCTGGAAGACATGCAGTCTTAATGTTAGGAATTATTTTAATTCATTCATTACACAAATGAACATTTGTTAAGGGACATCTACATGCCAGATGCTATAGTAGGTACTCTGTAGTTATTTCCAACTCTGTACAGTTATGACTCACCATTCCTTAACTACATGACTGCACACTTAATGTTTTGAAAAGAGAAGTTAATGAATCAATTTGAGATAATTTTTGTCATCTTCTAACATTGTAAAGAAGTGGAAGTTATTATTTAATAGCATGCCTCTATAAGAACTGACATCAGGCCTATAAAAACTTCAGGTTCTAGCAAAACGGTGAGTGATAATATGTGCTAATTTTTTTTGGGGGGTGGGGTCTGGTCATGGGGCCTGACTCTGGGCCTGGGCGCTGTCCCTCAGCTCTTCAGCTCAAGGCTAGTGCTCTACCACTTGAGCCACAGCGCCACTTCCGGCTTTTTTT